CTCCTCCTCCTCCTCCTCCTTCCTCTCCCTCTCCTTCAAATATTTGCACTGGACAACCATGTTGTAGAAAACCCAACATCAACTGTGGGCATTTTCCAAACCTCACTCAATCAGTCCTCCAAGAAAAAGATTAGGAAATACAGGGACACTAATAAAAAGCAAGTCCCTAAGTGCTGCCAATGCTGGGCAGTAAAAAAACCCAAATACTCCCAAATACTGATTAGCAACAATGCTTAATTACACTGTATGATTGCCTGTCTGCCTGGAAAGGCCCAATGATGTAATGAAGCCTTGTCAGTAATCTCCTGGTACAAAGACTTCAGGGATACAAACAGGATTGGAGAAAGTGGATAGAAATTTTGTATTCCCTAAAATGGCAGCTTTGATCCAATTAGGGTGATTGTGGGCTGCCAGAACTCTTGTAAGGAGATACAACTTGGTGGCTGATGGGGCTAAGGTTGTTCAAACAGAACCTTCATAATGTGAGTCATTTAAGAAGAGTATGTATATCCTTGAATTGTATCAGTGGGCTTTTGTATCAGAGACAAACTAGTGCATTGTCCTAATACATCTTCACTTTTAAGAAAATATATGTAGCAGCCACTGGGGTGGGAATTTTCCCATAGAAAATAAAGCTTTGATGCAGCAATTTTCACCAGGACTACAGTAAATAAATAAAGCATTAAGCTCTTTCTCCCTGCTTACCATATGAAATAGCATCATTTCCCTTCCCAGCAGCAGCATTTGCATTTTTAAAAGCATGCAGGTTAAAGAAAAATGCATTTCAGGATAATTTAAGGAGGTTGAGACAAACCCTTGCCTGTGCAGGACTTAGAAACTCTGAAAATGCGGGAAATCCTTGAGGAAAAAAAGACTTGTAAGTTGGGTTGGTACTATGATCCTCATGTAAGTCTTTCACACCACCCTAGTCAAGGTTCTTTTTGCAGGGAGAACTTTCCTTGAGAGGCAAGGTAAAGGGAATGCAGTCAGTGAGTGAGTTAGGTTGGTTTAGTGGTGGGGGTTTGAGGCTAAATGATGTCCAACTCCGTTCCATACCTACAATTCTACAACGTCATGAAATAAGCTGGATGCACCTATCTCAGAATATTCCCCATTTTTCTGCCCAAGCAGCTGCCTCAGTTGTGACGCTAACGGCAGCTAGGCTACTGTTTGTAGGGATGAGCAGAGCCAGAAAACAGAGAGTCTTTCTTAGCAACAGAAAGGAAGCACACCTGTAATTCGGCAGCCATACAGCTCTAGTCGAAGGGCGATTCCGCTGTGCCAAACCTGGGGGCGGATGCGCACAAACCGAGTCAACACTGGAGCATGGATTTTGTTCAGTACCACTTCAGAAGCATCGGTGTTTGCCTGAAATACCTGAAAAAGAGACATTGTTAACATTATACTGCCTTAATCACATAAAACTAAGCAGAATAGAAAGGAACAGATAGGAAATACAAGCAACTGATTATGTAATAATACAAAATAGTGGAGTAAATATTTTTCCATCTGAATTCTTTGTCTTGGCTAATAATAATTTTCAACTCTGCACCATGTTCAGAAAAGGCTTTCCCCCCCTGTGCAGTTGGCAGCACTAAGCTGGATTGATGGAACTCCATTCAGTCCTTCTATATTACAACAGCAACTTACAATACAATCCCAGACAAATCAATTAAATAAGAAGAACTTCTGGTTTTGGACAGACAAATTTGAAACACCTTGGCTTAATTCCCAGAAGTGCAAGATGTTCAAAACACTCCTAAAATCTAGATTCCATTTGCCTAAAATAGAGCATGCGAACAAAAATAACTTGAACTACAGATTTTACCCATTCATATTTGAGTTTCAATATTTACAAAGTGGGCGTAAGTAGTAATGATTATTGTCTCCAGTAAATTTTGGCAATGCAGATTCAAATCAGCAAATTAATAAGTGAAGACTGCTGTTAGTGCAGTGCTTTGGTTTCTTCCGTGGAATTATAATCCCTCCAAGAAAAGATGCCAGTCACTTCTCTTCTATGTCCACGTGCAGACAGAATAAAAACATTTTAATAAGACTTTCATTTGATGCAACGTATGTTGCAGAATTATTCGAACAAACTCCTGTCTTACCAGATGGTCATAATCTTTAATTACCATATGGACCATTTTCCCCCTTTTCCTTCCTTCTATTTTTTAATAGCTTGGGAAAGTAGCAGCAATTTTTGCTTTATTCTTTGTCTAATACAAAAGGCAAAAAAATCATTCTAGAAGAAATTATCCCCATATTTTCTTTTACTACTTCAATTTTTATGCTGCTCCATTTCCAAAGACTCCAGCAATTTGCAATTAACAACATAACATTAAAATACAGAAAATTGATGGCATAACCACAACAGCAAGAAGGCCCTGATGTGTCATCATTTGGAGAGCAAAATTCCTGAATACCTGTCTAAAGAGCCATGTTCAGGAAGGGGGTGATTCACATCTCTGGAGGCAGCTGTTCCAGGGGTGAGGGGAACATCACTGAGAAGGCTCAAGCATGGGGTCCTTCTAGATCAGATCTGGAACCTCTAAACAGGTGATTTCTAATAGATCTTCCCAGACAGCAAGAGGGTTTTTACTGTTGCTGCTGCTGCTGCTGCTGGTTTTTGTAATATAATCTCTGTGTGCCAAACAATCAACTTTTCATATAAAGTTCTCTTGTACTTTTTTTTTGGTACAGGAGTCACAAAATTTGCATGGGCTTTCACATGTATCCCTTTGATATGGCTTAAGAAGAGTTGAACCTAATGAACACTGACTGTAAAGTAAAAGTTAAACAATTTAAATATTAAGACTCCTGGGATTTAAGGCAAGGCATTGTTTGAAGATCCTATGACATTTCCCTCAGATTCCAGGGGAACTAGCATTAAAGAGATAATGCAGATGTTTCCTCTGCTTGAAACAATTTAGTCATCTTGGGGCCAAAACTGTTTGCCAGAACCTATGTATCACAACCGCTGTGGCTGCTGCGTGAACCTGCGCTCTGCATGAATGCAGGGGATAGCCATTCTCCTAACACAGAGTGTGGGAAAAGAGGCATTGATGCAAAGCTTTGGGCAAAAGGCTAACCCCATGTAGAGCTAATGCCTCTAACAATATACTCCTTTTGTCACTCATGAGCACAGGCCCAGGCATGCACCTCAGCAGAGAGGAGAGTGACAAAGCTGATGGTGGTGGCATTCTCTCCAGACCATCAGCAAATGGAGTTTGTGACAGCTGCGGGGAGAGGAACTCAGTGCTATTGAGAACACTCAGTGTCAACTAGAGTCAGAGCAAGCAGGCATATTAGTTAGCATAATTAGCATTTTCTTGTCTTCAGGGTAGTGAAGTCTAGTGACACTGTAGCAAAGAATATATGCCTGTAAATCTGTGCTGATAATTGAGGTTTAGAGTGGAACAGAAATGCTAAACCAAAAGGTATAGATCACGCTGGTACCGTTGAGAAACACAGCACAGTTGATGTCTTTTTAATATGCTATTTTATCCCAACAGACCACCCTTCCCCCTATCCTTTCCCTTACTCAGCAATCACTAAATATCCTCCTTCTAGCAGGAAGTCTGGAAGTATCAGTATCTGCTGTGAGTGGCTTTCACCTGTGCCAATATCCAAATGTATGTGTGTAGAGATGTATTTTGATACTGATGTAAAGCCCTCCACGTTGGGTCAACACACAAAAGGTGATATGTAGCATGTCATCTAAGAACCCAAGACTAGGGAGACCCATTTGGCCTCATTCCTGCCCGTGTTTTGTTTCTCTTCTCATCCTTCTCTGACATTTTTGCAACTTCAGCCTCAGCCCCTTCTTTCTGCAAAGTCACATCTCTGAAATGGATTTAATTCCTCACCCTTCAGCTACCTTTTCTGCTGACTTGTTCCATATGGTGACTTCTCCTTTCTCTGTCTTGTTTTCTTCGTTTTCACACTAATTTTGATTCAAGCTTCCTTTGTAGTGTGAAAGTTATAGGGAGTTATTCTTTTTGAAGTGGTGTTGTATGCCAATCATTTTAGCAACTTGCATTTTCTCATTTACACTGGTGGAACAGGGAGAATTTTATGATGGTATCATCTTTATCAATCCTTTCTGTACAGCTGATAAATAATCCAAATGACATTACCTTTTTCAAAGGAAAGTGTTAACAACCTTCCTATCATCACAACTTCAGGCTAAATTCATTCATTAGACACACTATGATTCAGCCAGGTGCCTAATTCCAAACAGATGTACAAAGCCTGAAGATTCCTCCAGAAACAGCAGGATTTAGGTATGTGCAACTGGCAACAACAATCAAATCAAGTGTTCCTAGACAGATTATGCTATTTCAAAGACCACGGAGCATCCATTGTTACCTAGGGCTTCAGCCTTTTCTGAAAAAGAGTATTTTCTTTGCTACTGCACTGAGTGTAACATCCAAACTGAATTACTTGCTGTATTTCTTCCAAGAGAAAGTATTATCTCTTAAATCCTATACAGTGTCAGTATCTTTGTTGTTCTTCCTAATGGTGCCTTTGTCATGAATTATTGCTGCTAAAGGTCCCCAAGACATTGTTCTGATCACATTCTTTACTTTTTCCCCCTAAGCTGAAAACACAAATTGCTTCACATATCACTGTGCTTGATGTAGTCTGCTCAACTAAGGACACTTTTAGGCAGAAGGTTTCCCTTAAGTGTTGGACATTACAGATTCAACCTGCTCGACATCTGCTCTCCACGCCACAAAAGACCTGTGTCAAGCCTTATGCTGATGGTTATTAATCCAATCTGCTCACAAGGGACTCCGGTATCAGATTTGATAGCAAAGTCCAAAACTATGATCAAACCACAAACTCCCTTTCCAGTTAAGAATAAACCTGATACATGCACTTTTGTGTTACTTGCATTAGTGGATCAAAAAACAGAACTTTAACAATTGCTGTGTTTTTTTTTTAAGTCTGGCCTAATATGCTTAATCAGCCAACCCCTATCCCCACCATTCCTTTGCAGTTGTGTACTGTATTTGTTGGCAGTTCTGATAGACAGACAGACAGACAGAGTATCTCTCTCTCTCTCTCCTTGCAAATGCCTCTGATGGTAAAGATCTGGAGCTATTCCATAGCCTAGTATACTCTTCCATGGGTCTTCAGCTAAAACACACACTTCTGTTTTGCAGTGTATTCTTTAAAAAAGTATCTATCTTCTTTGTGGTGGGGGTGGGGGGAATGAGAACTATAGTCACTCCAAGGGACCGGAAAGTGGCTTCTTTCAAAAGGAGGATGCAAATGCCTTTAAGAGTAATGTGCTATTTCTTTCTAGTACATTGTATTAAATGAAATGTTTAAATTGGCTTAAAAAAAAAAAAGACAACCTTTGGATGTCCTTGTTATCTGATGAATTAAATACAAATATTATTTCAGATCTTTTGAAAAAATTACAGATGAATGAGGAAGTAGGTAGACTGGAATGAACAGAAATGAAAGCACCACCAAGAAACAGATTGATTCTTCTTCCCAAGATGCAGCTGCATGCAAGTAAAAATAACCTAGAAATGATACGTGTCAATATTGCTGGGGTGTTTCCCGTCAATTCCTCTCTACCCCACCTTCTCAAAATCAGATGAATTTGATTGATCAGATGCCACACTGATCAACATAAATTAGTATGCTGATCAATGTGAGAACTGAAGGCTCCCTTACAGCACTTTAAGCTCTTTGTTATCTGACAACCACAGGTCGCCAGTCAAATTGCAGTTCAGGAGCAAATTCATAGTCATCTTCCCCTAGTCCTGGCAGCCATATTTCCTCCAAGAATGTGATTTACAGGAGCAGCACAGATGAAATGAGACAACCTAGCCCACAGTGGTCTCCTTTTACACCGTGCTGGGGAATCTGAAAATGAGACATGAATGTCCAGATTGTAATGCGGCAATATTGTCACCTCCAGCCTTTTTCATCTTCAGTCTGGTATGAAATATGAATGACTCTATCATCCAACTCTGCTTGGTTGGAATGAGCCTTTCTGAAAGAGAATGTATGAATAACAATAGAGATACCATCACCTAGGCTGAGCTGCTATTGAAAATCTGACTATCACAGGCTTTGTGTTCCAAGCATAAGGATATGAGGATTGGTTTCAAGTTTCTACACACCAGTTGCAAAAATTAAAATAAACTGAAGAAATCAAGCTGTGGTGCCTCCTTCTGAAACCCTTGCACTTGATCTATTGCTGAGAATATTCTGCACAGGCGTTCCTTTTTATTGGAACTAAATGTAAACAGCAAGTTTCCAAAGTCATAAACAGCACAAAGCAAGATAAGCTTTTAAAGGAAAAGAAGCAACATTAAAAGCTTTTAAGAAGTGGCTTTCTTATTTTGTCATCA